GCAGTGCCTTAGTAGACGCAGTACCTGAAGGCGCAGACTCACAAGCACCTGAAGCAGCAGACACACCTGCACCTAGAGCAGCAGCCTCACCAGGACCTGGGGCAGCAGACGTATTAGCACCTAGAGCGGCAGCCTCACCGGCACCTGGAGCAGCAGACTGGATACCGGGGTCAGGCGGCACACACAGGTGACAGGCTCCCTCGGCACTAGTAGACAATGCATACATTGCAGTGAGAATAGCATCATAGTCAAGAGCAAAGATATGTACCCTCTGCCTAAGCAGCTCCACCCAGTCGGGGAGCTCAGCGTCGTCGCCAAACTCTGTACGCCAAGCGTCGCTCAGACGGGCGAAGTAGCAAGACTCTGTGTGACCAGGCGTCCCGCAAGGCTGACCAGTCCGGACACCCGTGCTAATAACGTACGGGCAGCGAGCAGTACCCAGCGACCCTCTACTCTGAGCGTACCACTCACGAAGCTGCTGGGGCGAACGAGTCTCGCGCAGACGACGCTGCTGCTGCACCGGGCCACTACAAGAAACTCCCGAACTACCCACTCCAGGACGACTCCCACTACTGCCACCCCGACAACCCCAACTGGCGTACCACTCACGAAGCTGCTGGGGCGTGAGGGACACACGCGGACGGCCCTGGAGCTGCATCTGGCCACGCCAGGAGCAGCAGTAGAAGCAGTAGCAGCACGGGCAGGGCAGTGCTCACCAGTGGTGGGAAGGGCAGGCGCACGACGGAGGCGACTGCGGGGCCGCTACAGCGGCAGGGCGGGGCCGCGACCGCGGCAGGGGGCTCCGCAGCAGTTGCTGCAGGGCGAGACCGGGCCGCGACGGTCGCTGCTGCAGGGGCGGCTGCTCCAGGGGCCAGGGGCGGCTGCTGCAGTGGCGGCTGCTCCAGGGGCGGCTGCTCCAGGGGCCAGGGGCGGCTCCTGCAGTGGCGGCTGCTCCAGTGGCCAGGGGCGGCTGCTGCAGGGGCGGCCGCTCCAGGGGCCAGGGTCGGCTGCAGGTGCGGCTGCTCTAGGGGCCAGGCGCGGGGTAGGTCAGGGCGACGCGGCGGGCAGGGGGGACGCGGCGGGCAGGGCGACGCGGCGGGCAGGGGCGACGCCACGGGCAGGGGCGACGCGGCGGGCAGGGCGACGCGGCGGGCAGGGGCGACGCCGCGGGCAGGGCGACGTGGCGGGCAGCTGGGCGCGGCCGCGTCAGTAGCAGGGCGCGGCCGCGTCAGCAGAAAGGCGCGGCCGCGTCAGCAGTAGGGCGCGGCCGCGTCAGCTGTAGGGCGGGGCCGCGTCACTGCAGGGCGGGGCCGCGTCACTGCAGGGCGGGGCCGCGTCCGCGTCAGGGCGGGGCCGCGACCGCGGCAGGGTGGGGCCGCGTCAGCGACAAGGCGGGGCCGCGACTGCGGCCGGACGGGGCCGCGACAGCGACCTGAAGGGGTCGCGCGCTGGCCTGACGGGCCTGCAGAGGCTGCGTGCGGGCGGCGAGGGCCTACAGGGGCGGCGCGCGGTCGGGCAGAGGCTGCGAGCGGGCCTGACGGGCCTGCAGGGGCGGCTCTCGGGCCTGACGGGCCTGCAGAGGTGGCTCGGGGGCCTGACGGGTCTGCAGAGGCGGCTCGGGGGCCTGACGGACCTGCAGGGGCGGCTCGAGGGCCTTACTAGCTTGCAGGGGCGTCGCACTGGCCTAGGGCAGCAGGAGGCAGCGCGGGGGCTGCAGGACGGCGCGCGGGCAGAACGAAGGGCGGGGCGCGCGAGGGCGCACTAGCAGGAAAAAGGCGCACGAGGGCGCACGAGCAGAGAAAGGCGCACGAGGGCGCACGTAAGGTAGGGCGCACGAGGGCGCTTCTAGCGGAATAGTGGGCCCGTAGTAGTAAGCGGTCCTAGGTGGCAACATAGGCTCGTGATACCATTTCAGAATGAACAAGGGTGTTTGCACTAGGAAAGGGTTGGGTACAAGTAGGAAACCCTAACTTACTGTACCCCATAGTAACTACCCCACTACAGCCTAAACCAACTGTAGCAGATATAACATTTGACAAATCAGAGTAGCAAACCTCTGAAAAATGTGCCTTCATAATAAAGTGGGGGATTTTTTCCCGAAATCAGGGGGGCCCAAAATGAAACGTCAGCCCTGGTGAACAGGTGGCATACGGTTTTTTAAGACCTGGGTACACTTATTTGAGTATTAAATTTATTAGATTTACCATGCACTGTTCGTGTACACGGGAGGGGGGAGGGGAGGGGGGGGGGGGGAGAAGGGGGGGCGGGTCTATTTTACACTCTCAAATCCCTCGCTTGGAGCATCACGAATGCGATGTGTGGTGTGACACGCATCGAGTGACGAGCCACGACGCCGGTTTCTCGCCCGAATTTGGCGAACCGCATGTCCTCTTGACGGAACTGTCCCCAACCTGGCCACGTCACTCTGCACATGGGGGCCAGGTTAATTCCATCCTCTCTCGTGGGTTTAATAAAAGATGGACGTGTTGTGCTAGGGGAGTCACGTCCAGCAGCCTGCCGAGCAGATGGAATGTCTCTTCGTGGCTTCTGATTGTGTGCCCCAATTCCCACACAGATCTAGAGGCTACAAGACACCATCCACAGAGACGCTTCTAGCATGCTTAGAGTAGTGCCTTAGAGTAGTACCACGGCATCTTTTGAAAGCCCATGGTGTACCCGTTGTTCGAGCCTTGGCAGTCCGTCCAAGCAGCCACCTATAGTGCTGATTACTAGCCCGTCACCGCCAGCACCACATGCGCCTCCTGCGCCCCCTGTGCATCCTCGGCCTTTCATCGACCACTGCACGACCCCTTTGTTCGAACCGAAGGATTTCTCGACCCCGAGGACGAAGAGGTCGTAGATGACGACACCGCGGAGAACGAGGACGAGATGGAGCAAGAAGTAAGGGACTTCCCTGTTTCATCGTTGTTAAGAACTTTGTATGCGACGCATAAGCTGTAGGGAGGGGAGACCACGATGGTGGTGCCAAAGGAGGGATGGGTGCGTGAGCAAGACGCAGCTACCTGACTGGACGCAGCGAAGTGTGCAGACCCAACGTGCAGTGTGTACAAGCCAGACCCAGGCCTTCGAGTGAACGTGGCGAGGTGGTCGCCAGTCACTGAGTCCGTACAGATCGCCACAAGATCGCCTCCAGGAGTGGTGGTAGTGACCAAGTGATCCTGGAGGATAGCGTTACTCACCAAGTTCGTAGCGGACGAGGGGAGGTGGAAACCTGAGAGCGAACTAGAGGGGACTGCCGGACACGGGATAACTGTGGTACCTCGTGCAACGACTGGGCCAGAGGAGGGGTCGGCCAGAGTGACAAGGACAGGTGTGGTGAGTGGTGTGACAGTCGCGGAAGAAGCAGCCAGACGTGCCCAAGTCCAGCGTGAAGGTGAGTAAAGCCTCCGCAGAGGCTGCACCTGTGCTAGCAGTGTCGCAGGCACCTACACTAGCAGGCACTACACCACTAGAGCTAGGAGCACCCAAGTAATAGTCACCCTCAACACTAGCAGAAGCAGCATACATAGCATGCATGCTAGTAAGGATCTGGTCCCAATCAAGGGCAAACACATCGATGTTCTTCCTGAGCAATCCTAACCAGTTAAGAACTTCAGCCTTCTCACCAAACTCCTCGCAGAAAGCGTCCTCAAGGCGGCGCAAGCAACGAGCCTCATTGTGGCCCGTCTTGCCGCTGACGTCTCCTATGCGGGGACCCGTGCGTCTGACATAGGTGCAGCAACCGCCTCCGCCGGGGCCACCTCGCTGGACCGCCCACTCACGCAGCTGCTGGGGTGAGAGGGTCTCTTCACGACGCGACTGCTGCTGCTGCCGGAACCTCCGCCTCCACCAGCTGTGCGCCCTTACGTAGCTCCCTGGCCTCCACCCCCACTACCTCCACCACGACTACCACCCAAGCCGCCTCCGCCCCCCCCAGTGCCGCCACCACCTCCGCCACTCCCACCACCCCCACCAACCCCACCACCGCCACCACCCCCACCATCCCCGCCACCACCACCTCCACTGCCCCCACTACCTCCACCACCACCGCCCCCGCCACCACCACCCCCACCGCCACCCCCACCACCCTTGCCCTTCTGACGCACAACCTTGTTGCGCCTCCCGCTTGCAGCAGATGCCGCACCGGCTACCTCAGCAACGAGGAATTCAACAGCAGCAGTAGAGGCGACAGAAGGCACAAGGAGGGAAGGAGCACACCCTCAAAAGAAAGAGGTGCGGGGAGAACCACAGGAGGCAGCTAAAGCGAGGGCACTGGTCTCAGTCTCTAAGAGTCGTGACTCAAAGAAGGCTAGGTTGAGCTCGGTGGGGTCGAGAGAAAGAAAGTGGTCTCGGACGGGGCGAAGGGAGTCAGGGAGACGGGTCACTAGGAAGTAGAGAGTGATGTACATCGGGGGAGTGTTCGTAGCCAGAAACTCTGGCTTGAGAGCAGCACGGTAGAGAAGGTCACTGGTGCGCAGGTGAGTCATGAGGTCAGCGACAGTGGCAAAGTCTGACAGCTCAGGAAAGAGGTACGGCAGTAGGAGGCGGCATAAAGCGGCAGTAGGAGGCGGCATAAACCGTGTTTGACTAGGTCAATGTTCTCGCTAAAATGCTCGTGACTTTCGCCTGCTTCTTTAACAAGTATCGCTTTAATCTCTAACATTGGATTACCGGTCATTTCTGCTGACCTTGGTTTCTCCAGCTTTAAAGCGACAACGATCAGGCTCTGTCAGGCATTCCCAGGGACTTCCACCAGTCACGCTCTACATCATGGTTTTTTATCAAGCAACCGCTACAGTCCTATTTCAACGCTTATTAAGATTGAAGTCTCCAAGGTCGCAACCTCGAGAACACATCACCTGCTCCACGAACTATTGGAGCCTGACAAGGCCAGGACATTATTTAATGGTTCTGTGCTCAGTCATCAGGGATCTTTCTCTTCTGTTCTCAGGCGTGCTTTGCACGCTCTTTTCCTGCCTGGACGTTTTCATCATCGCACAATGGCTCACCCAGCTGATATCCCAGTCCTGCCTAAGGGTCACCGCTCTCGTCCTGCTCTGGACACGGTGATTACCAACGGTGTGGTCTCTCCTCCTGCGGAGGAACAGCAGTCGGGGAAAGCTGTGGTCAACAATGAGACTCATTCTGCTGCTGTCAATGAAGCAACAACTGCGTCAGTAGCTGGCAGCTCCGGCTTAACTACGGCTGAAAAAGCGGCAATGTCATCAGCGACTCTCACTGACATTGATGGTTTTCTCGATGACGACTCCGACGATGAGATGGTGATTGACTTGGTTAAGGAAGCTGACTTCAGGCTGCGCTCCGTTGCTATTCTGCTGATCCTGTTTATGCTGAAAAAAGAGGTTGCCTGTGTGATTGATGCTGTCAAGGCATTGATAAAGCATGGGTGGTATTCAGAGTTATCAGCTGACGCCGCGTCAACGACGAAGTTTCAGGAACTCCAGCCAGCGTACATCGCCAAGACACGCTATTGTCGCCTGCAAGTGTCATTCATATCGGAGGCAGATGCAACATAGGTGCGGAACAAGGAAGTGATTTACCAGCCGCTCAAGAACCATGGCCAACTGGTCACTCTCTACTGGCAGCACACGGAGGATGCGACTTACGCTCGAGAGAAGGCGTTACATTCGCACGCAATCGAGGTTATAATCAGAGGCGTCTCCGCTGCAGTCGAGTTGGACATGATCCGCGATCGCCTGATGACCTACCCGCTTAAGAGCAGTCAGCGCTCGGCCTTCCTACGCTGCTCCTGTCTCCACCGCGTGCTCCATCCTGTTACTGGCGCGGACACGGATGTGGTGAAAGCGCTGGTTTATGCTCACCCGGAGAACCGTGGTCGCCGCTGGATCCACGCCGTCGCTGATCCCGCCGATCGGTCGAAGATGCTCCTCATCCATTACCCTACCTTATCCTGCGCGCTCTGTGGTGGCAAGCATTATGCTAAGTATCATGATGCTTTTGTCACTGAGCGTCAGAATAACGTAGGCAAATGGAATCTCACTCTTGGCAAAGTGCACCGGCTCAACGGTAAACGCAGCAGTCAGCTTATTGTCCGCACTCCTCTTATCTTTCTTATCTCACCTACTAACCTGCCTCTTGAACCTCGCAGCTGCGTCGCTGAAAGCATCGCCGCTCTTCCTCCCTATCCTCCGCGATCCAGCCATTGCTCTCATTTCCACCGGCAGCAGCAGGGAGGAGTGGATCTGCACGCAAGTGGGCTGTGGGAAGGCAAAGGGGAAGAGCCTTATGGCTGCAGCAGATCACATCTCCCCAGCTGCTCATCTGCAGCAGCTGGCAAAGGCCGGCTCTGCCACGAAGGAGTCGCTCGACAAGATAAATCTCACCGTGATTCGCAAGGAGTACGGACTGTGACGGATTTCATCTGGTACCTGGATGCAGCAGCCTGGTGGTCACTAGGAGTTAGTGTTGCCTGTACCGTGTCATTCTTCAGCCTGTGGATGCTCAGGGGCTGCAAGTCAGTGGACCCATGAATATTAAAAACCACCTCAACATTTCCAGCCTGAAAGTTAACGGTTTAGGTGACGGAACGAAACAGTCCAGAGTACACACATGGTTCATAAAAGGATCTGATATAGCCGTGTTAGTAGATACCAGACTAGGGCCTGATCACCCATACTGGAGCACCCTTCCCGCAACGTCAGTTTTTGTCACCGCGCCTAGGGCCGCCGCTGGCGGAGTAGCAGTCCTCTGTCGCAACCCTGCCATCTCCTTTCATGACACTGTCACTCACCAGTCAGGAAGGATAGTTAAGACTACCGTCCGCGGTCTTGGTCTTGACGTCGTCTTACTGGCCGTGTACTTCCCCTCCAACCCACCTGCTAGAGCCGCCTTCATTAGAGATTCCTTTGGACCATTGTTAGACCAGATTCCTCTCTCTGAGCACCTGCTAGTCATAGGGGACTTGAACATTATAGAAAATCCACGGTTAGACAACTCCCTTGGTCACGGAAAAGCCATAGAAAACGAAAAACTGTTTCACCGCTGCGCAGCCTTCCAGCTCTCGGACGCCTTTAGAATCTGTGAAATAACGAGGAATGATTGACTAGGAAATGAGTTGGGTACAAATATGTAACCCTAGGAAACTGTACCCCATACTGTCTACCCCACTACAGCCTAGAAAGACTATAGCATGAATGTTTGACACACCCCCATAGGCAAAGTGGGGGAGAACAAGGGGTCACAAGACCAGTCAAGCAAAGCACAGCAAGCTCAGGGTGGATCACAATGTCACCACACATTCCGAGCACAAGTTCAAGGCCACAAGGCCAGTTCACATGCAAGATTATATATAAAGGTAAACAAGCAAGTGCAGGTATAGATAGATCACAGTACAAGCAAGGTCAAGAAGTGAGCAAGTGAGGCCAAGTAGGCACAAGACCTAGCATCGTACAAAAGCGCTGATGATCACAAGGCTGAAGTGCCTTGGTAAAGATATCAGCAGTGTTGGCCCGAGAGGCCACGTAAGCAAGTCGACAAGCTCAGCAACTAAGGCAGACGCAGCAGTGGACTCAAAGGAAGGGTCAGTGACAGCAGTAGCCAGGAGACGCGTGACAGTAGGACTGGCAGCACGAAGAGAGACAGACTCCGGGTCAGCAAGAGCAGGAAGAGAGGACTCTGGGGGACACGGCAAAGGGACACGCAGTGGAGCAGTGGAAGGACGCAGTGCCATCTGGTGTGTGCCCGGGACCGCAGGAGGACGCTGACGCGGAACACGACGACTAGTGCGAGCAGCACGAACAGGCGACGCAGGACGAGACGCAGACTCACGACGCTCAGCAAGACCTCCAGTAGGACCAGTGTAGGGAGGAGGAGCAGGCAGTGGGGAGGCGAGCTGTAACTGTGACTCAGACTGGACAGGCAGTGGACACTCTAAGGAAGGAGCAGGACCAGTAGAGGGCAGAAGACCAAGAACCTGCTCAAGGAGCGGAACGAAGTACGGCCGTGGCCGTGCAGCACCTCCACAACAAGCAGGCACAGAACCAGTACCCCCAGGGCCGGCCACGACTCCAGCAGCTCCACCAGCTCCAGGAGCAGCTACTCCAGCACCCACAGGAGCACCGGCAACAGCAGCACCTCCAGCTCCAGCACCTCCAGCAGCTCCAGCTCCAGCAGGAACACCGGAAGACCCAACAGCCCCAGCTCCAGCACCTCCAGTAGCACCTACTCCAGCAACACTGCCAGCTCCAGCACCGCCAGCAGCTCCAGCACCAGGAGCACCCCCAGGCCCAGCAGCTCCAGTACCTCCAGTACAAGCACCTCCGGGACCCGTGGCGTCAGCACCCTCAGCAGCAGTAGAACCTCCAGCTCCAGCGGCACCTCCAGCTCCAGCAGCACGACTCCAGCGCCGAGCAAACCACTCGCGCAGCTCCTGTGGAGAGGGTAGCTCCCGCCAGGACGAACCACCCGAAGGACCTCCAGACCCAGTACCGCCAGACTCCACACAAGCAGGCCCAGCACCCGCAGGCTCCACACCCCCAGTCGCAGCACCCCTAGGCTCAGCACCCCAAGACTCAGCACCCCCAGGCTCAGCACCCCCAGACCCAGCACCCCCAGGCTCAGCACCCCCAGACTCCGCACCCGTAGGCTCAGCACCCCCAGCAGCACCAGAGTCAACAGCTACCTCGACAGGCTCGACTGTGTCTACCTGGGACACACCTGAGGGGGCAGGACCCTGAGGGGGAAGGGGGTCTACCGGGGGAGGACCTGGTGCGAGGAAGAGCGGCGGCGGGGGGAGGGGGGCAGTGCGGTAGGGGAAGAGACGGTAGTAGGGAACCGACTCGTCAAACGTGACGTCCTGGGAGGACAGAACACAGCGCGAGGTGGGGTGGTAAAACTGCCAACCAGGCGGGTCAGGGGGGAAGCCAAGGAAGACGCAGGGAACAGCGCGGGGGGACAGCTTGTCCGCAGACAAGTCGCGGACAAAAGCCCGAGATCCCCAGACACGGAACGCAGACACATCGCCAACCTTCCCCGTCCACCGCAGAGTAGGGGAGGTCTCTGGCAAGGAGACCCGTGGCTGAAGGTTGATCTGATGCGCCGCGTACTGAACCGCGAACGGCCACAGAAAATGGGGAGCAGCCGCATGGATCATGGACGTACGAGCGACGTACATGACCATGCCAATGCGGCGCTCAGCAATCCCATTTTGCTGTGGAGAGGCCGGAAGCGTGAACATCTGGCGGATGCCCTGTGCACAACAGAAGGCCCGAAGAAGGTCAGAGGAAAACTCTCAGCCTCTGTCGGAGTGCAGACGCAGAATAGGAAAGTCCGAGCCGAAACTCTCTCTGAGCTGGAGACGAGCTGCGCGGATCCAGTCGATCAACACCTCAGTGACCTCACCCTTGCTGCGCAAGGGGAAGACTGTGGTGTAACGCGAGTAGTCGTCAACCACCAGCAGGAAGTAACGCTCGTGACCCTGTCCACGGACGCGGGCGGGGCCCCACACGTCCAGGTGAAGCGTCTGCAGCGGAGCCTCTGTCGGAGGAAACTCGGAGGAGTGAGGAGCGGCGCGCTGCCGCCCCTCGACGCAGGGAACGCAGGTAGGGGCAGGCCCCGGAGGAAGAGGAGGGAGGGTCCGGGGGAGACCAGAGACAAGGAAACGAGAGGCCATGCCTCGGAGACGAGGCAGGGAGGGGTGACCAAGGCGGTGGTGCTAGAGGAGAGTCTGGTGAGACAAGTGACGACACGAGCAGGGGGCAGACTCAGGACCAGACCTAGACGCTGCAGCAAACACCTGACCCGACGCATCTACCTGACCAGACTCAGTAGCCGGAGGAGACTCAGTAGTCAGTGTGTACAGGCTCGACCCCGGCTGACGGGTAAACGTGGCCAAGTGTCGGCCCGTCCGAGCACACGTACAGTGGGTCACTCGCTGACTCGCAGGAGTGAACTGGTCAACCCCCCCATCCTGTAGGTCAGCACCACTCACCAGGTTCGTAGAGAACGAGGGGAGGTAAAGACCTGACAGGGTGCCAGAAGGGGCCGCCGGACACGGTAAGACAGTGGAGAAGTGGGCAAGGATAGGACCCCCAGAGGGGTCTGCCAGCGAGACTGCAACCGGCCGACTAAGCGGCGTGAGTGTGGTGCGGTCTCGAAAGAAGGAGCGGGAAGCACCCGAGTCAAGGGTGAAAGTGTGCAAAGCCTGAGCCGACGTGGTACCTGAGAGAGCAGACTCACCAGCACCTGGGGCAGCAGACTCACCAGCACCTGGAGCAGCAGACGCACTAGCACATAGAGCAGTTAGAACGAGAACACCAACCCTAGGTACAAAGCAAAAATCCGGGCAGTTAGAACGAGAACACCAACCCTAGGTACAAAGCAAAGTATGGATTTCTCCGAGCTCTCCGCCATGGATTTCTTCAGGGTATTCAACCCAGCATTTCGTGAAGCAGAGTTATCAGTTGGCTTTAAGGAGCACAGCTTTGAACTCGCCTTATCGCGACGAAGCGATTGGTACACTTTTAATGTTCATCACGCGAACATCGTATCAAAAGCTTCTCGGGATCTGCTGTTCCGCTTCTTAAATCCAAGCAATCTCAAGGCTTCATCAGCTGACCCCCTGTCATTGATGCATTGTGCTTCACGAGAGTTTACCAAAGGGATTCCTGATTGGCTGTTCGTATTTCATGGTGTTCTCAAGGCTACTGATGATCGCCCACAGGTCTTATCAGCAACAACTCAGCACTCACATCAAGAGCACTGGTCTGATGGGAAGACGCTAAGTCTATATTATACTGGGCTCAGTCATTTGGCAGCTCAGGCATTTCGAGCCTTTCTTAATCAACTGCCGCTGATTTTCGCTCATCATCGCCCTATGGCGCGTCCTCCTCCCAAGGAACGTGCTCCGCTCATGCCGAAGCATGCCGCTGCTGGTGGTGCTGTTTCTGATCCTGAAGGCAAGGGGAAACAAGTGGAGGAGAATGAGCCGATTACTCCAGTTGCTGGAAGTTCAGGCTTATCACTGGAGGAAAAGCTGGCTGCACTCACCTCCGCGCATGATATTGAGAACGACGATGACTTCACGGATGATGACTCGGACACAGAGCTAGAGTTCGAGATATCCAGTGACTCTGCTGCAAAGCTTCGTTACACGGCTATCCTGCTTCTGCCTCTCGTGCTGCAGCCGGAAATCGCCTTGGTCATCGTCACCGCACGGATGCTGTTAAAGCGTGTTTGGTCTTCCTTGCTTTCTGATGGGGCTAACACGAAGGTTGACTTTCAGGACATTCATCCTGCGTATGTCACAAAAACCAAGTTCAGTCGCCTGCAGTTATCATTTCACAAAGAAGAGGATGCCATTAAAGTGAGACAATCGGCTCTGGAATATCAGAAGCCGAATGGAATATCATATC